GCCATGAAAACTGGAGAGTCCCTTTAACAATGAAGGTGGTGGTGTTTTGGATCAAAGAAAACTTTGATTATTTGTCTATCTACACCTTCCAAATTGTTTAATTAATGCGTGCACGCTTTCCCTAGAAGTAATTCACACCGGAGACAAAGTTTCTGATCAGTGAAAAACCCAGGAATGCTTTATTCCCCGGAGTGGGGGCTCCTTCTTAAAGCAAAAATACGTCACAGTTTAAACATACAGTATACATTCACCAATTGGTTAACAGAGAAAGGGGGCTCTTGTTTAAACCCCCCTACAGAATGGCGCCTTTTATGGTGCCATTCATGCCATTCATGTAGTGTCATCATTACACACTTTTGGATACACGATGGGAGGGGGAGTGAGTGGTATCTATCAGTTCTAAACCAATGATCCTCCATTTAGCTATATATGGCATATAGCTGTTAACTGGCACAAAGGTAGTGGGGGGGGGGAGGCTAGTAGGATGTGAGGAATTTACATAGTAAACAGCAGCTGACCACATTGTAGGGGGGGAAGGGAATATTTACTCTAGAAGCCAGTTTTAACATAGTGAACAGAGAATAAATAGACATTAGTAAATAGCCATTTTATTTTAATTCATCTGTCCATAACAGTCCCCCCTTAAAATGGCAATTTTTACTAAAACTACTATCTCTCATTCTAATACTGTCCCTATAGAAAAATAACAAAAGGCTATCTTGCACATCTGTCTGAACAGGCCTCGAACACTTCACTGCGCGGGTACCCCATAGCAGCTTGTCCACTACTTCTCCCGCGGCAGACTTCTGCCCGTAGAGACAGACGCTATCCCTAAATGTCCTTAAGAGGAAGTAGCTGTTGATTTAGTGCGGTGGGACTGTAAGGGTGTATGTGGTGTATCAAGGTCGATGTCGTCAATCTCTTGGTGAAGGAAGGTCGGGGTGGTCTGGTCGATTGTCTGATCAACTGTCTTTTGTAGGCATTTCTTAAGACAGGGTAACACACAACAAACAAGAAGAGCGAGGATGATTATCGTTATTAAAATGGCAACACCTATTTGGGCCAAAGCACCTTGCCATCCAGACATCCATCCAAACCATCTTTCCCATGGATCTGTGGCCCCAGAATTTCGTTTCAGTTCATTGGACAAACTCTTTAACTTTTCTATTGCCAACGTTACCTTACCATTAGGGCCTGTATTATCTGGAATATAGGTACAGCATGTCATGGTGTCTGGGAGTATTTTACATACTCCCCCTTTCTCCGCCAGGATCATGTCTAAGGCCATTCTATTCTGGAAGGTCATCTGGGAAGTAGCTTGTAATTGTTCCGCCAAACCTTGGAGGGCATCTCTTGTATAATTTACAAAACGTTGTTGGTTATAATAGATGTAATTGATCCAATTTAAATTTTTATTGGCCGTGATGATTGGGAAAATAGATTCGAACCCTGCGGACACTTCATCTCTTGCTTTAAACTCATTCGGCACCCCCCTTGGCACTCCTATGGCATCTATGTAAATATGAGGATCAAAACTGCCTTTTACAGGAGTATCTCTCTTTATTCTAGAGTATTGGTGTGATGTACCTGGGTTATCTTGGTGTCCATCAGAGATTATGTGTATAGGCATAATTACCTTAGCTAGGGCACATTCTCCCCACCATACGCCTTCCAATCTGGTTCTAATCTGCATATCCCCACAAATCCAATATATGTCTCCAAGGGATCTTATTTGTTGTTGGATTAGGGCGGGTGGAATTAGGCTATATGTGGCACAGTACTTGCCAGTGAAATTACCAAAGAATTGGCCTACCCCATCATATATACCATAACAAGTGTAGTTACCTGGGTATATGGTGATACCTTTATCTGGCTTAACATCTTTAAGGATAATTGGGTATTCCTTTACCCATGATTCACATTCCGTCCGGTCAGTTTTAAGTATAGTATAGAGACTTAGGAAACACATCCATCTCTATCTCCGGAGGTATGTTCAAAGGGACAGTACCTAAGTGAGGCCTCGCTCCTCCACAGACATAGCAGTTAGATCTGTTGTGTTTGTTAGCGTTATATTTCATCCACTCAAGCCATAAGTTAGTGTCAGAGAAACCCGTCTCTACAGCCATAGTGTCCTCATACGTGTGGTTAGCTATAGCTATCATCTCTTTTAGAGTTTTGATATGTGGCCTAAGAGGATTAATAGTCATGTGCGTGGCACCTACCCATTCAGGTGCGTCATACATGTCCCGTAAGTAAAAGGTCCCCTGTTTATTGTATGAACCTCCTCCCTTCCAGTACATTCCCATTACATATTGCCCAGCATCTCCAGGACTGGGATGCTCTATGTTTAAAGCTAGTTTCATAGGTGTCGCCCCCCCTGGTTTCCTGAACGTCATTCTTTTCAGTAAGGACTTCCCATTTGTATCTAATCTGTCTAAGGCACTTTGTGGTTTATAGCCCCAAGCTGGCCCTGTATTCCAACCTACTGCCTTCCATGAGCTACACTCATATCCCCAGTAGTCATCAGTCACACATATGTATGGGTCCTTAATGTTAGGTATGTCTTTGTACACTGTTGACAACAATGCTGGTGGAAATGTACAATTTACAATATCACAATAATCAAATGCAAATGTGGCTACCCGTGTACTAGAGGAATTGTACCAAAATGTATAAACATGATTGTCTTTGGTTATAGCAACTTGTTGGGCCTTTATCAGACCTAACAGCAAGAACAAATACACAAAATTCATGATGTAACAGGATCTGCTTCCTCTGGATCTGGGACTTTCTTGCAATGTGAAGCGTGTATCCAAGAGTTCTTTCCAGCCAATTTAACTGAGGTAGTCGTGGTTAGAAGGACTTGGAACGGACCATCATATCTGGGTTCAAGGGTATGTTTTCTCAGGAACTTCTTAACCAGAACCCAATCACCAGGGAGCAACTTGTGTGTGCCTGTATCGGACTCTGGATCTGGAATGGAAGAAAACACTTGGGCATGTATCTTGTTTAAAACTTGGGAAAGAGCAGTCACATAATTAACCATAGTATCTGATTGCAGTTGGAGTTGTTGAGGAAAGTAACAACCTAACCTAGGGGCTGAACCGAACAAAATCTCATAAGGAGACAGGTTAAACTTCCCTCTTGGTGTGTACCTAACACTAAACAGAGCTATGGGGAGACTCTCTGGCCAGGGCAGGTTAGTTTCTTGGGCCATCTTAAGCATTCTGGCTTTTAAGGTGCCATTCATGCGTTCTACCTTACCACTACTTTGTGGGTGATAGGGTGTGTGGAATGCAAGGGTCACCCCGAGTGCTGCCCAGACTTCCTTAGTCACTAGTGCTGTAAAAGCCGGGCCCTGGTCACTTTCAATCACTTCAGGAACTCCATATCTACAGACAATTTCAGTGAGCAACCGCTTGGCAGTGGTCTTGGCGGTCATATTAGTGACCGGGAAAGCTTCTGGCCATCCTGAGAACATGTCCACCATAACTAGGGCATATTCATACCGGCCACTCTTTGGCATCTGAATGTGGTCAATTTGGACTCTCTGGAATGGGTAGTGTGGCTTCGCCAGGTGTTTGGGGAACACTTTCTCCAATTTTCCCGGATTGCACTTGGCACAGATAGCACAAGACTTACAGTAGGTTTTAGTCAGAGTGGTAATACCTGGTGCTTCAAAATATTTAGCAATTAAAGAGTTCATGAGTGTCTTAGACAAGTGCGGTGCTCCGTGGGCCCACTGAACCACAGCCGGATACATACATTTAGGTAGACAAAATTTGAGATTGCTAGTATATACTCCATCCTGCAAGGTTGCTCCTTTCTGTTTCCAGCTTTGCTTTTCTTCAGGACTTACAGCTGCTTGCTGTTCTTTCAAAAACTTGAGGTCTGTAGGTAAGGTTTGCATGGGAAAAATAGGAATTTCCTTACCGGACACTCTTCTGTCCACTTCCCTTGATTGACATGCAGCATCTTTGGCGGCTTGGTCAGCTTTATGATTGCCATATGTTTCTTCCGAATTCCGCCTTCCATGGGCTTTTACTTTCAGTATGGCCACTTCTTCAGGAAGGAGTAAAGCATCCATCAATTCCTTGATAGCTGTACCATGTTTAACTGGTGTACCGGTTGCTGTCAGAAAACCTCTTGTTTTCCATATTAATCCAAAATCGTGTGCTACGCCCAGGGCATATCTTGAATCCGTGTAAATATTAACACGTTTCCCTTCAAACATTTGGCATGCTACAGTGAGGGCTTTTAGTTCCGCTTCTTGAGCAGACATAGACGGGGGAAGTGGGGATGCTTGAAGTACCTGATCTACTGTGGTCACTGCAAATCCAGTGTGGTATCTTCCTTGTTCATCCGCAAATCTGGAGCCATCCACAAACAGTGTGCAGTCAGGATCTGGCAAAGCCGTTTCATGTACTGTAGGAAGGTGGGCTGTTTCCATCTTCATCTGTTCAAAACAGTCATGGGGAACATCTGGGTCAGGATCTATGGGAGGGGCATCTTCACATATTTCTGTGTGATATTGTGGGTAACCAGTAGTCTTACAATTCACAGTTCGTTTGGTAACACCTTCTGTAGAGAGTTGGTCTTGATCTGTTGCACTCCATGCTTTGGCTAATGGACCAAGTTCCTTCCATGAGATATTTGGAGATTTAGTAATAGAGACATGAGGAACTGCCATCTCCCAATGGTGGTACATATGAGTCACTTCTGTGGGTAATTGAACTAACACTACAGTGTTACCTTTTGTATCACAGTATATGTCTGTCAAGGTGAGGCGTACTTCAATCAATTGAAACAGTTCTTCTTCATACTGAGGGTCAGGCCCCGGAACGTCTCTGAACCACAAAGTACAATGCCATAGAGGAGATGGCTGTTCATCGTGAGGTACTGTGGGCATGTGGACATCCAGATCAAGGAAGGCATCAGGATCTATGTTCAGACCGTACCAATAGTGTGGTACTCCCCCCTTGGGAAGCGGCAGAAGAGTGGCAGGATTCAAAGTATAACATCGCTGTAAGGAGACATTATCGGGTAACATTAAAGTTGTTTGGAGACGAAGATGCCTTTGAGTAGAGAGATGTTTAGGTTGAACTTGATTCAATATTGCAGAAAGATCATGGGGGGCGAGAATGGTTAGCTTGTGACCAAGGATTATGTCACACGTCTTGTCCAGTAGAGCACTTGCCGCAAATACAGCCCGAAGACAGGAGGGTCCTCCCCGGCCACAGGATCCAACTGACAGGAGTAATACCCTATTGGACGTTGACGAGACCCATAAGACTGAGTGAGAACACCAGATGCATGTCCCATTTTTTCGTAGACAAAGAGCTTGAAGGGCTTCTCGTAATTGGGAAGGCCCAGAGCAGGAGCAGTAACAACAGCACGTCGTAATGCGAAGAAGTTGGTAAGGGCTTCAGGAGATAAATCAAACGGTTCAGTTTTGAGGGCATCGTAGAGTGGCTGCATCAGTGTAGAGGCTTCAGGAATCCAGGCTCTACAGTAAGAGATAAGACCTAGGAAGGCATGGAGGGACTTGTGAGCCGATGGAGGGCAGAGTGATGTGATACCCCGCACTCTGTCTCTAGTAAGGTGCCGGGTGCCATGAGAAAGACAATGCCCCAAAAATATCACCGAGGGTCGGCACCACTGCAATTTCTTCTTAGATGCTTTACAACCTTGGGCGGCCAGGAAACAGAGGAAATCTTCAGAGACACATTCTGCAGTCGGGAGATCGTCAGCACAGAGAAGGAGATCGTCCACGTATTGCAGGAGGACCACGTCTGTGTGAGATTTCTGCCATGGTTCCAGGATGTATGCCATGGCTCTTGCAAACTGGCTTGGGGAATTTTGTGCTCCCTTGGGCATGACTGTCCAGGTATATTGTTGGCGGTCATGGGTAAATGCAAACAGGTATTGACAAGAGGGATGCAAAGGCACGCTGAAGAAGGCATTGGCCAAATCCACCACCGTGAAGAATTTAGCTGAAGGAGGGACCTGGGATAGAAGAGTATGAGGATTTGGAACAATGGGAGTTTCCAAGACGGTAACATCATTAACTGCTCTGAGGTCTTGAACCATCCTGTACTTGTCCGGTTCGCCCTTTTCGGTCTTTTTCTTAACTGGAAACAAAGGAGTGTTACAAGGCGACACACATTTAATCAGTGCACCCGCAGCCAGCAGAGTTTCAACCTGTTTGGAGATAGAGAGGGCCTGAGCAGGTGTCAATGGATATTGTGGTCTTCTGGGCGGACTTGCTCCTTGGAGTAACTGCACAAATATCGGAGGGACTTTAAGTCGTCCAATATCATCGGGACCAGTAGACCACAGTTGCACAGGAACTCTGTCAAGTGCACTGGGGGAGTTGTCTAGGACCCTTGCATTTCCATGGGGTGATTCCATGTGGAGTAGGAGGGGTAAAGAACAAAGGGCTGAGGTATCTTCACTGGAGAGAGGGGTCAATAACTGAACCTTGCCATCTGGAGTAAAGGAGATGGAGGCCTGCAAGCGGGACAGAACATCAGCTCCCAACAAATTAAGAGGACAAGAGGGAGACACTACAAAACGAGTAAGGAGATCAGGGAAAGTACCCACCCGCAAGGGCTTAGTTAATGGGTTGCTACGAGGGGTACCGTCTACACCTATACAGGAAACATCTATATTAGAGAGAAAGGAATCGTCAGGCAGGTCACATGCTCTAAGTACGCTACGGGCTGCGCCTGTGTCAACTAAGAAGGTGGTTGGGCAGCCTTCCACAGGTAGGACCACTGTAGCTGTAGCCCCTGTATACACTGCCATGACAGGGGCATTGGACACAGGTTTGCCTGTTACCTATTGGACAAGATCAATATGAGACTGGTCAGGACCAGGATATGTACGTGTAGGTGTAGTTGGGTAGTATGGTTGTTGAGCATGCTGTGCAGGGCGTCGGTGTCTAGGCATAGGACGATTAGAGGGCAGATAATTGGCTGAGGCTCGGTCATCCGGATAATAAGTAGTATAGTTAGCATAATTGGAATCATGTGTCGGATAACCTAGCGCTTGAGTAGGAGGATAACCGGCCACAGGATACGGTGGCCGTAGAGCCTGTGTGCGCTGCCGAGGTGCTGGAAAACCTGGACAATCCTTCTTAAAATGACCTAGTTGCTTACAGTGAAAACAAGTTCGACCTTGTGGTCTTGGAACCTGAGTCATGAAAGGGCCCGGTAGTGTGGTAACAGGGAACCCAACAGGGGCAGGTGTAATTGCAGGGTCATGTAATGTAAACATTAAAGGAGTGGATTTCTTGTGCTGGGGCAATTGGATCGACTCTAGGCCTTTAGCGACCAGGAGGAGAGTATCCATGGGAATTATCCTGAATTCGGGACGGGACAGGACCAGGCCTTTCCTTATAGGTTCTTTAAGGCCTGCAACGAAAGCGGCTGATAGCATCTTGGTGTGGGCCTTATTACATGTATTGAAACCCAGATCGGAAAAGGTTTGAGTTAACCTAAATGAAATCTTTCAACCGTTTCTGATTTTTCTTGAACAATATCAGCAATAGAAGTAGCCTGATCAGTCAACTTATCTTGAGCCCATGCACGGAGTTGTTCACAAAATGTGATACCAGACTGATAATCCGTGTCTGTAGTGAGACGGGCATCATCAAAACTCTTTTCCATTATGGGCCAGTAAGCATCCCCTGCCTTAATTTCACACAGACTAAACAAATCACGCCATGCTGCAGAGTAAGTTTTACGGATTTGAACAATCCGACGGAAAAAGGGCATGGGCTGTTTCTCAGGGTCAGGGAGTGAGTGTACTAGTGTTGCAGCTTGGGACGGGTTGAAGGTAACATACATTAAAGGGGCACCCTCCTGATCATGCTGGGTACTGCAAGCACCTGCTATGGCAATGTGAGGCAGATTAGTCGGGGTCTGTGGAGACTGCACCCCCTGGACACTACCATCAGCAGGGGGAATGGGAATCTGTTGGCTGGATACACGAGCCATGTCAGGAAGAACTGAAATCGGTCCAACAGTAGTACTGGCCGCAGGGTGACTAACTGTAGGAGTAATGTGGACCGAATCAAGTTGTGAGGCAGGGGGAGAAGTGACTGATGTAGCAGTGGAGGTAGCAGGATAATAGCCTGATGCTGCAGGGGTAGCAGCAGGAGGATAGCCTGATGCTGCAGGGGTAGCAGCAGGAGGATAGCCTGATGCTGCAGGGGTAGCAGCAGGAGGATAGCCTGATGCTGCAGGGGTAGCAGCAGGAGGATAGCCTGATGCTGCAGGAACAGTGGATCCAATAGTCATAATAGGGAAAGATACACTGGGGGCAGTTATGAGATGGGCCGGAATGGAAGAGGAGACAGAAGGGAGGGAGGAAGCGACCACAGGGGTGTTGGTAGGGGAAGTTACCATCATGGAAGGGATGGGTGTGTTAGAAACAGGAAATGGTGACAGTGAAAGGGCAGAAGTTATAGGGAGATGTGAAAGGAATTGGGCGTGGACAGAAGCAACAGGAGTTGGAAGAGAGGGTGTAGCAGCAGAGATGGGCAAGGGAGGAGGAGGCAAAGAAACAGGAAGGGAATGTGTGACTGGGATTTGGAGTGGAGAAGGAGAGGGGGCTGGAAAGTAACATGAACCGTCTGCCTTAAGGACAGGGTACAAGGCAGCAGGGGCTGGAGAGCATGTGTTAACATGAATGGGCTGTGTGGGGGCTCCAGGGGCTGGTTGAGCCACCCCCCTTTCTGGCCAGGCCTTATCATATGGAGGAGGGCTGGAAACGACTTCAACAGATTCAACAAAACAACCTTTTTCATGATATACAAAGACTTTCTTCCCCTCTAGGTCTATCTCCTCCTCAATCCACCCCTCCTTCTTAATCCCTCGAGCCACCCGATACCAAGAATCTGCAGCCTTCATTAACCCATTATCTAACAATATCCCATGTTTATCGTTTAAAAGTTTCCTCCAGTCTTCCGCCTGCAATCTGCCACTGGGGGACATAGTAATACCACACAGTTTAATAATTTTCTTAAGTTTGGCTACAGCTAAGTCCCCAGCTCTTTCCTTTACAAGGTCACATGCTAACCGACCCCGGGAGTGGCTAACATTAGTTTGACCCATTTATACACAACAGTGGTATGGATAGAGAGAAGCAGACCCTGGACCAAAAGAGAGTGAGAGACTGAGAGATAGAGAGAGAAAGAGAGAGAGAGAGAGAGAGAGAGAGAGAGAGAGAGAGAGAGAGAGGGGTTTAGGAGTTATAGATTAAGGGAAACGTGCATCAAGGTCACATGTACGTCCTAGCAGAGCACAGAGAACCAGAGTGATGCAAAAAAAAAAAGGGAGGGGGGAGGAGAGGGTGAAGCAGAGTTGCAAGCACGAAGTATTTAACCATGTAAGTGCCTAAGCACAGCTCTCCTCAGTACAAAAGATAGAATAGGAGCGCTACAAGACACAGAGAAAATATAGAACAATTAACATATATGGTACCCGACAAGACATTTACATGCAAAAGCACAATATTCAGATGCAATTAAATCACAAAGTCCTTAAAATAAATGCCGGCTTATAATAACTCAAATCACACACACAGAAACACTCAAGCACATAAACCGCTCCTTTACCAAATATATTTTTAAACTCTTGACCGAGTCCCTCAATAACTTCTCTACCGAAGTTTAGTTAAAATACATTTTTTTTTAAATTTATTTATTTATTTATTTTTTAAACTCTTGACCGAGTCTCGCAATAACTTCTTTACCGAAGCTTAGCTAAAATAAATATAGAGCCAGGGGTTTTCCACCAAACCCGAACTTGGCTAAACCTGCAAGTGCTTAACCACACTTGGCAGCATTATATAACAGTATTAAGCAAGTAGTAAAACAGATTCTCAAACAGACACTTTCACACATAAAACTCACATTCAGGACTCAGGCTGTAGATAGACAAGTGACAGGTTCTATATAAAAGGGGACATTCGGGCATATATATATTACCTGTCTGAAGACGTTAAACACCGGAAGCCGAATGTGAAGGCACGGAGAACAAGAGAAATCCAAAGAAAGGAAAATATAGGTAAGTAACTCATTTACCATATGCAGAGGTGATCAGGCTCCGTTTCCAATCTCTGGGAATCCTTTGCTCTCCTGTCTTGGGATCTGACGGCTGCCTTAGTAACGTATCCCTTTCATGCCCGCATTCTCCACCAAATTGTTTTGGATCAAAGAAAACTTTGATTATTTGTCTATCTACACCTTCCAAATTGTTTAATTAATGCGTGCACGCTTTCCCTAGAAGTAATTCACACCGGAGACAAAGTTTCTGATCAGTGAAAAACCCAGGAATGCTTTATTCCCCGGAGTGGGGGCTCCTTCTTAAAGCAAAAATACGTCACAGTTTAAACATACAGTATACATTCACCAATTGGTTAACAGAGAAAGGGGGCTCTTGTTTAAACCCCCCTACAGAATGGCGCCTTTTATGGTGCCATTCATGCCATTCATGTAGTGTCATCATTACACACTTTTGGATACACGATGGGAGGGGGAGTGAGTGGTATCTATCAGTTCTAAACCAATGATCCTCCATTTAGCTATATATGGCATATAGCTGTTAACTGGCACAAAGGTAGTGGGGGGGGGGAGGCTAGTAGGATGTGAGGAATTTACATAGTAAACAGCAGCTGACCACATTGTAGGGGGGGAAGGGAATATTTACTCTAGAAGCCAGTTTTAACATAGTGAACAGAGAATAAATAGACATTAGTAAATAGCCATTTTATTTTAATTCATCTGTCCATAACAGTGGAAGGTGGGGATTGCAGGTGTGACTCCTACCATGGGTGGAGCTTATATTGTGGGGGCAGAGCCTGCATGTGCGAGGCAGAGCAGGAGCCTGTGTGCCGGGGAAGCTGCTGGGAATTCCGAAGTGACACTCTCAGTGCTCCCTCCGGCCCCAGCAGCCTCAATCCTGCCGCTCCAGCTCCCAGCACCTCTCTCCTGGATTCCCTCGGACTGTAAAAGGCTGTTTCAGTCCGAGGAAAAATAAAAGCACATGACCCTGCAAGTTTCCCGGCAAAAACAGGACAGTTGGCAACTATGGCTTTTGTGCATTATTTGTGAAGATTTGTAAAATAATATTTTCGTCTTGTGTTGCTATACTATATCAATGTTTCAAAATCATCTTAAAGTTTTGGTTTATAGATCTCACTGGCTAATCCCCTCCATTTAGGGGTTAAATCACTTTTGTTTCAGTTTAAGCATATCAAGCCACAACTCCCCTAGCTGTGACTCACACAGCCTGCATGGTGAAAAAAAGGTTTTATTTTTATTCAGATTACTAAAGTAAACCCATTGTGATAGTCCATAGAAGCATTTTATATCATCCATAATAACCAATACAACACTGTGTTTATATTTTATCTTTTTCCTGGGTGCAGATACCTGCAATGTATTGAAAGTAATAAATCGTTTTCTGAAATATCTCGGGCGATGGGAATGGGGAACAACTCATAACTACCTTTATGATCCCAGCAAGTCAGGTGAGTTTTTGACCTCCATGTAACGGAAAACATACCAATGAGTAAGGTGACCTTGTTTCCCTATAAATATCCAGACTAATGGAAACAATCTTATATTTCAGCGGCACTCAGCAGGTTTTAGTTTTAAATTAATTTTTCATCTTTCTATTTACCCTCTTTTTAAATGTTTTATTTAATTTCACCTTAGTTTTTAAAATATAAGAAAAACCGTATACATTTTCTTATAGAAAGTGTGATCCTTTGTAATATTTGGCAATTGGAGTGGACTATGTGGGCTCCAAAACAAATGTATTGCATTTGATAGATTTTGGCCTCATTAATATGGTACTGGCAGCTGCTGAGCTGTGTAACTAGATTTGATAAGGAATTAGATTTCTGGAGTGAGAGGGTGTGGCTAAAGACAAAGGCTTATGATTCGTCCTCCTCCTGCTTTCCTTCTTAGCCACACCCCCTTACTCCAAGACTTCCCTACCAAATCTAGGCCCACAGCTCAGCCACTGACCGTTGATTGATTGACAGTCACATCATATGCAAATATTTTTATTTATTTTTTTAGATGACATTTTTAAAAGCCAGTATATTCACCTTATTGATGCTGGCTTGGAGATAAATACAGCCTACCCATTAATTCTCAGGCCAGAACGCAAGGTGGACCTCATTCTATCTTTTGATTTCAGTGAAGGTGACCCATTTCAGGTAAGTGTGTGTGTGTGTTAGAAAAAAAATATACATACATACATATTTGTTTTATGTCATATTACATGTATTTTACTCATCATTGCATTATTGTAATTTTGTTACCCAGACATTGACTGACGCAGAAAAGTATTGTTTAAAAAATAACATCCGATTTCCTAAGATAAACATTGAAGAGGAAGAAAAAAATATCCCATCACAAAACTGCTACATATTTGGGAACGATGAAAATGATGTACCTGTGGTGATGCATTTCCCACTTTTCAACAAAATGAATTGTAAAGGTTAGTTTAATTCACAAAATAGTATAGGAATAGGTCCTATGATTCCTGTCTACTTTATTAACAGATTCTGGAGATTTTTTTGAAGGACCCGAGTTCCGATGCAAAAATTTTAATATTTGGGTCAGTCTTAAAGGGACACTGCAGGCACCCAGACCACTTCAGCTAATTGAAGTAGTCTGGGTGCTGTGACCCTTTTGCACTTAGTGCTGCAATGTAAAACAGTACAATATCCAATAGTGTAACTGTTACCTCCCACACATCTCCTCCCCTCAGTGTGACACATAATCCACTTATGCATACTGCAGTTTTACCCAATTTCTGGATGTACCCCAAAACAGTCAGAATTATATAATGGGTACCCCCTGGTAGCCCTGATCTGGGTGATTAACATATTCAAAATTCACCCAGATCGGACCAGAGGTTCGGGAGTTAGGTGGAAGAGACAAGTTGACCGACCGCACACGAGGTAGTATCTGAAAAAGGCTCCATGTGTTTTGGCTTTGCGATCGGTCTCTGTTCAGGAGATAAAATGCATAGAAATAATTGCCATCCAAAGTTAATCTGTATTCGTATTAATTCCCTTGTTTGGACATTTATTTTACCGAATGAGGGGCACTTTGGCCCCTCCGGGAGTTACGGAGCTCTGGAGGTCTCAGGTGTTCGGGTAATTGAGTGTCCGATTTGAGTTCCAGACACTCGACGACCAAACACCGCTGAGATTTTCTTGCGTAAGATGGCCGCCGCCACGTGGTTCGTATGCCGAACGGAGACCACCCAGATATATACAAAGTAACGATTGCATGGTCAATTAGTTTGCGGTTACAGAGTCTGAAAAGCTTAACGAGGTACACACTTCTCTCTGGGGTGGTCTGATGGTTCGGTATTTTCATTCGAATGCAACATGGAATGAAAACTACCGAGCAATCAGACGAAGGCTACATACAATACAGCTATACATGGGAATAATTACACACAATGCATTTTTAAAAACAAAATTTTGAGGACAACCCAATGCCATCCACTACAATTTTTTTCTTCTGACATTTTGAAATGGAGTTACAATTGCTGTAATTTAATGTGAGGGGCCTGAACACCCCACATAAGAGGAGATAGTTGTTTAGAGAAATTAGAACCCATAAATTGGATATAGTATGCATTCAAGAAATGCATTTAAAAGCTGATAAGATAACAAATTTAATGAATAAGATTTTTCCACTCCATTTCAAAATCTTTGGTGTGTGCAAAGTCTCTAATCTGCAGATAGCAGAAATAGTCTCTCGTCTGGAGTGGGGCCTGGGTTTGTAAATGGTCATAGGTGACTGTCACCATTTACATATAAGTGCATGTACCTTTGTAGCCCTGTAGCCTCTATTCCCCTGAAGGCCCTAGCCCTCATCCCAGGGAGAAACATTCTTTTCCTGTGGACTGGAGTCAATGGTGAAGGGTCGCTCCCCAGGGCACATTTTTGCTTTACCTGGTCCCATTTTTTTGATGGAGTTAAGAACAGCTGGGCATGTCGATCTCAATATGGCCCTCTGAACTTTGGGGACCCATAGGTAGAATTGGAGTAGAACTGCCTGTTACAAAAGACTGGAAATGACTATGTTACTGTTTAAAAACCGATTGATACTGTTGCCACTGTATATGTTTAAGCCGAAGGAAACACGAATGGATTACTCGAACCCTTATAAAAACTCCATTCGTGGTACGAACGAGGGACCCCCCAGATGCTGGCGTGTGCCGCCACTTAACCTCGTCACCCTGCAAACTACCGAACGGTCGACCACCCGACCAGCGGCGTGTGGCAGCCATTAACCACCCAGGCGGCTGCGGTTTGCGGTTAACCACAACCTAATTGATAGGCCTGGGGCATCGACGTTCGCACCCAAAGTACCGAAGGGAATCTACCGAACCATCAACCGAACGGCGACCCCCTACAGCGGGTTGCATGGAGATCATTAACCTGTGGTTTCTGCGGTTAACCGCAGGTCAAGTACCCTTCTACCAGGTGGTCCTTGTTCATGTACCAAACGAGTTCCACTACCTGACAGGCAGCGGGGCTTCGCGTGAACTGATACACGAGTTTAGTTCCATGAGTTGGAAGCGAGGTCCCGCTGCCCGCTAAACC